GGCTTGTTTTACAACGTCGTTGCCAAGCGACGAAAACCCAACCCCGATGGCAAACACCGGGGGGGGCGGCTTGGGGGAGGCTATATTTCCGGATTAAAGACAGAACCGGTAGCCACAGCAGATTTGCACATACGTGTCGATGAAGGCTGCTACCTTGCACTCTAGCTCGTTTTGGAGTGTCACCGCATCCTCCTTCCAACTCCATCGTTCTCACTATCGTTTGTGTGTGTGTCCAACCTGCACTATTGCGGGGCACCGCGGTGCTCAACCTGCACTATAGCGGGACTGCCCTCAATAGTGCAGGTCCTGCCCTATTGAGGGCGCTGTCTGTGTCCAGAGATCTCACCTGCACTATACCGGGCACCTTCACTATTCAACCTGCACTATAGAGGGACCAGTACTGTAGTCAGTACAAGCACGCCTCAGAGCCCGATCAAAAGTATACAACGCCTCCCCGCCCCCATACGTTTTTGATTCACGTCCCCCATTGTCATGAACCAGAACACACTATCAACAACACATTGGTGAAATTGAGAGCGAGAGCCAAAAAAATGAAAATTCGGGTCCAGACGCCTCTTGCCATTTCCTGGGGAAGCAGGGGGCGGGCTGTTCCAAGAAGCGGCGCAAATTAAAGGTCTCGTCAGCTAGGCCTGTCCTCCATCGGCCGTTTTATTTCCGATTTAGATACACAAACTTTATTTCTATACTAATTTCAAGTAATTCCACCTTCTTATTCTCCGTCATACAAGCAAAACGGCCGATGGAGGACAGGCCTATCTTCAGCAGCGTCACGAGCATNGCGAGAGCCAAAAAAATGAAAATTCGGGTCCAGACGCCTCTTGCCATTTCCTGGGGAAGCAGGGGGCGGGCTGTTCCAAGAAGCGGCGCAAATTAAAGGTCTCGTCAGCTAGGCCTGTCCTCCATCGGCCGTTTTATTTCCGATTTAGATACACAAACTTTATTTCTATACTAATTTCAAGTAATTCCACCTTCTTATTCTCCGTCATACAAGCAAAACGGCCGATGGAGGACAGGCCTATCTTCAGCAGCGTCACGAGCATATGCATGTCATCGTCATCGGATGCTGCAGCTAGGAGCTAGACAAGTTGCTAGATTTCCCCAGATTAGCTATTCCTGCCTCAAACTGTTGCAGGGCGGTTTGGCCATGGGTGGTGGGCTCTGCTGCAGCTTGTGCTCGCCGCTGTAACTCCACACGGAGAGACTCCCGCAGGATGACCAGCGTATCTGCTTGTAGCTACGGGCTGGCCCTTCAATTCAAGCTACACAGCAAGCTCCACCTCTCAGCAGTAGTCCATTTGCAGCACATCGCGCAATCTCGCTCTCAATCAGATGCTTCGCTCTCAATTTCACCAATATGTTGTTTATCTCACATCGCCAACAATTACGGTGACACCACCGCAACGTTGATACTCGCTACCTGTGGTAGATAGCACGGGTTCATGCTCGACCTCGTTAGATCAGTCGCAGCAATAAGTGACTCTCGAATCCCAGCTGCATGTGCTGTTCCTTCTTTAGACTATTGACCGAAAATAATATTTGCCGAAGTGTCCCCGCCTTTGTACACGCCAGTCTTTTTTGGAAAGTAAACGTACAATCACAGAGAGACTACCCGTTCGAGGTAGGGGATGTGTTGAAGTCTTTTACGGTGAGCGGGAGGAAAACCGGCTGGATGTTGTTGGTATCTTCGCGTTATAAACCATTCTGATTTATCTACCCACTACATGTACCTTCATCCGTCTGTACTGATCAAACTGAATACTGGACTTTATTTTTCTTCTTTGCCACAGAAAACTTAGCCATCAGGCTCAAGCCGTTGGGGACGAACGTGCTGAAACGCTGCATTGGCACATTCAGCGTGTGAGGAGCTCTGTTGATTCGTGCTCTTATTGTCGCGAGAGGTGTTTGTAAGTTTAAGTTTCGTCTTCCGAACACAAAACTAGCAGCAGCAAGACAAAGTTTCAGGCTCGTTCGACCTTTCCTGGGCCTCAGGACACAGTCATGAGAGCGACGTTGGTACAGCCGTGACATTTTTCTTCGTTTTTCCCGCAAGTGGCTGAAAAAACAGCAGAGCAGAATTGGTGGTAAGTAGAGTCGTTAAGGCCACGTGTTTTAGACCATGTCCTTGTTATGCTCGCCCCGGTGGCGATGCACTAACTATACGCTTAGAACACGCCGTCCTTGGTCTCGTCTTTGCAGCTAGGAGTGGCGTGTTGAGGACTTCCACTTGATTCTTACTCCCGCACCACAGCAATCCTCGATCATTTCTGTTCGATGTCAATTTTCGATGGTGTGTTCCTATAATCCAAATGCCCGCGATTGCCGTCGCAACTACAGTAATTTCCACCAGCCAATACGTGTATACCACGCTCGCATACCAGTTTTCAATCAGCCTGTCCTTGTAGTTGTGCATATCCCATGGAAAATAACGCACCTCGTCACTCTCCCTAAGGGTATCATCCGCCGCAACATTTTCGAGAGCGTACATACGTTCTACGCGAAGAATCACTGCGAACTCTCTGCTCCAGCTGCAGCGCGCCAGTGTTCCAAGGCGATGATAAAAGCCGCGCGAAAACATCCTTATCTTCTTCGAAAATGCCAAGATATTCGCGATGCTCAACAGCGCCTGATTCTGCGTAACCTCCCGTTCCTTGTCAGAACCAAAGTGAGGTTTTCCGTAACACATGACTATGTCCCCCTCCCCCCCCCTTCTTCCGTCCTACCTCTCCCTTTCCGCCATCCCTGTGTCTGGCAGTGGAGTCTCCGGCGCTGTCCTCATCCTCTTCTTCCGCGCCCTCTCCCGTGCACCTAGACGGAGGCGCGGCGTTCTCCCGCGTGTTCGGTGCCCTGAAGGCCGCGGGGGTGGCCACCGACGGTGACAGCAGCACGGAGATGGGCGACGAGAGAGAGCAAGACGACGAACCCGGTAAGGTGGAGGAGGAAGAGGAAGACGAGGAGGAGGAGGAGGAGGAGGAGGAGGAGGAGGAGGAGGAGGAGGAGGAGGAGGAGGAGGAGGAGGAGGAGGAGGAGGAGGAGGAGGAGGAGGAGGAGGAGGAGGAGGAGGAGGAGGAGGAGGAGGAGGAGGAGGAGGAGGAGGAGGAGGAGGAGAAGGTAGAGCAACCGAAGGGAGAGGAAAAGGAGGACATCGACAGTTCGGCCGTCTCAAGGCTGCGCCAGATGTTCGAACGTTCGGACGGGAAGAAGAGGGCGATCCTGGAGACCGGCCCATTCCCCGGGCAGGCGGTTTCGACTATCGGTGAACCTGCCGGCGAAGACGAAGCTGCCGGGGAGGCGGCGGGTTCGACGGAATCACCACAAGCCTCCCCGAAAGCTGGAAGCAACTCGGCGGAAGAGGAGGGGGCAAACGCCGCGGGGCTGGCGGCCGAGGAACCGGCAGCATCCGTGGCGTCCGGCTTTGGGTTCTCGGTGCACAAGTTCTTCTTCGGATCTCGGACTAAGAGGGACGCCGCGCCGAAGGCTGTCGAAGCGCCCACTCCTCTGGCGGTTGCGGATGGAGCGGTGGTGGAGCCCTTCGGTGTGGCCGGGCAAAAGGAATCGTCAGAGACGGGATCGTTTGGCGACACGAAGCAGGCAGAGCTCGGAGGTTTGCCTGCCGAAGCGAGCGCGAGCACTCAAGCCGTGGCACCGGCCGTGGAAAAAAACGTGCTCCTGGCGGCGAAGGACGTGTACTCTGTACCGGCAGCGATCGTCGACATGGACTCGACACCTCAGCTTGGCGGGGCGGCGTCATCTGCCAGCGTGCACCACTCGTCGACGGAACCGGCAATCTCGGCTGGTGCTGCTCAAGAAAAAGCTGGCGACCGTACAGGCGAAGAGATCGGTGTCGACGTCGTGGCGGTGGAGGAGTTGGTACCGGTAGCTCAAAAGGAGTCCCGACAGAACCCACCAGTCACTGTGGGGGCCCCGGCGGTGGTGGGAGTAGCCGCGATGGCGAGTCAGAGCGAAAAGCCTGCCGCCAATGTGTCGATGTTGAACATAGCTCAGGCCTCCGTTGTGCAAGGTGCTGTGCATCCCAACGTGCCGGAAGCAAGGATCGTTCCTAAGGCCGCTGAAACGACCGTGACTGCGGTGGAGGTGACTGCGGTGGAAGCACCGACGGCAAGAGTCTATGATGGAGAGGCCACCCACGCCGCTGCTGTTGTCGCGGCGCAGACCAAGGAGAAAATTGGCGCCTTCGAAGTGGCTCAGGTCGAGTTAATCGCACCAGAGATTCCTCCAGTGGACCGGCCGGTGCCTTCTGATGTTCGCGCAGTTGTGGCAGAAGGTGTGTCAGGTCCGTGTGCGACGGTGGGAGACGAGTTGCCAACGTTAGGAGGAGTGGGACAGACGACAGGGGCGTTACAAGACATTCGAGACGAAGCACCGCTCCAGGTGAAAGAGAAAGCAGAATAGGCTGCTCCTTTAGTACGACATAATGCCCGTCCACATGCACTCGGGTGCACTGCAGTATCTTGCGGACCGGCAGGACTTGATACGGGGACTTCCTAGGCTATGTTTTCAAGATTGGTGAATAGTGTTCTTAGCTGTCTGAAGGCCGTCTGGAGCTTTCCACTAGAGCTCGCCGGCCAGTATTCGTTGCCTGACTACACTATTATATCCCCAAGCCGAAGAGACGTGCTGCCGTTGTTGTTGTTGTTGTTGTTGTTGTTGGTTGTTGCTGCTGCTGCGGTTTTCTTTGACGTCTAGCCATTATCTTTCGAAATGCAGAACTTCTCCCGATAGGACTCCCCATAAATTATCTATTAGAAGGAGAACCCAGCGGCCAGAATCGAAGCATTTCTGGGGCACACTGTTTTTCGTTGTAGGTTGCGCACTCCAATAGTTCCTTCGCTCGCCACGCAGCCCACCACACCCAGCTCTCCCTTTTATGGTGCCCTCTCCTTGACGTCCCGTTTATGCTTTCTCTGTTGATGGTCGTCGCTGATTTCTGCCGCATATCCTCTCTCTTGTTTCTCCCGTTCTTGCACCGTCCTTATCACAGGGTGCCAACAGCGAGCAGCAAGCAGTTGCGGCGGCTGTCGAAGACGCAACGACCGCTGGGGACGACGATGAACCGTATGTTACTGCGGCGGAAGAGGAGGGGTCGCAGGATGGAGACCTCGCGCCGCTAGCTTCGGCCACATTTGACTTGTCTTCACCCACCACAGCGACGAACGACGGGCCCTTGGTCGAGCCTAGCGGGGATGTACCGGTGATTCGCGAGGTCGCGCCGCCAGCGACAACCGAGGGCATGGTCGCAGCTACCGGGGATGTGCTGGCGCTGGGAAAGACCGCGCCGCCACTGGCGGCACTCAAATACATGTCTCCGGATTCCGATTGCGGGGTAGTCGCTCCCTCGAGGGCCGGTCCTCTTCCCGAGGTCGCGGCGAAAGCGCCGGACACGGCCAAGATCGGCCGATCGCCAAAGAAGACCGTTGACGACCAGCTCGCTCCGGGTGGTGGGGAGAAGGCACTGCCAGAGGAAGGAGAAATCGAGCATCAAACTCCTGCCCCCGAGCAGGAAGGCGCACCCATCCTGGCGAGTTCGCCCTTCGATGGTACTGCCGTGAACGAGCTGGACGATTCAGCTGTGCAAGCACCGGGCAAGATGCCTCAGGTGCAAGGAACGGAGCAGGCGGCATCAATGGTCGAGGATGTTGTCGCTACTGTGGGCCAGGTGAGGTCATATACGGGTATCTTGTTGCATGTGTGTTGGGGCAGGCTGCTTGCGTATCGAGCGATGGTACATATGTCTTCGCTGAGAGGTCTGCCTGTTCGTGCGGACAGTGTTCATCACACAACTTTCACGCCTCAACACCGACGTCGTTCCAGCTCAATGGCGAGCGTGATCGATACCAAACGACCAGAGTCACTCACAAAACACTAAATTAGAACACTTGAACCAAGCACAGGCACACAATACCTAGATCGTATTCTATCAGTACGGACTCATAACACCTTCAAACGCTATGGACTACTCATCGACCAAATTCCACCACGGTCAATCGGCCGGGGTTTCAGTACTGCCGGCGAAAAGGAGGATGGTGGTGGTGGCATGAAGGGGATCACATCTTGGTTATCGAAGGACTGTTTTTTTTCACTCACGCGAAGTACTATCAATACATCGTATAAACTCTTCCCGTGCGCACACACAAATGGTTTTCGAAGGAGACTGTTGTTCGTTTTTCACTCACGCGAGGTCTTATCAATACATCTCATCAACCCTCCCCTTGCGCACACTCAAAGACACCCCGTTACTCTTCCCACGTTTTGTCCACAATTGGTAACATTCCGTTGCTGTGGTTTGACAAAATAGTAAGTAAGCTACTTACCCGATAGACATCAAATCATTGGTTGCAGTGGTCAGGTATTGTGGGCATTAAATGAGCTCCCAGCTTCAGGAAACGAGTCGATGAGCCCCAGGGGGATAGGGGACGCTACGCTTTGCCGGAGTTTCAAAGCACCAAAAAGGCGTGGACAACATCGGGTCTTGCGTTCGCACTATGAAATCGAGCGCCCTCGACGGATTGATCCTTCAAATCCCGTCCAAAGCAGAGAGCTACATCGCGCTCAAAGCACTGGCTTCAGAAAGCGAAGCAATTCTGCATGTGCCTTGTGAACGACCCAAAGAACGTGTCTCGCTTGTGAGTCTGTGCCACCCTGTATATCTTCCATGTAACCTTGGGAACGTCGCTGCCTCTCTCTCTCTCTTCTCTCTCTCTCTCTCTCTCTCTCTCTCTCTCTCTCTCT